GCGTGTACTTAGACAAAGAGCTGCTGAGTAACTACCAGGCTAAATCCCTGGCAGTTCGCTTGAGGGGACAACGGTGTGCTTGCGTGCAGCAGAGAGGGCGTCATCGAGGGCCCTCGACGAGGGGCGTTCCCTCCGGTTCGGTTGTTTACAACAAGCTACCAGGTCTCACGTTCCGCCCTTGTTCACGTATGCTGAGTAGTCTCTCCATTAGGAGATGGGAGTGATACTTACTACGAACGGGATACCATCAATTGAGTCATACTCCAAACTCGATGGTTCGAGAGTAATTCTGCACCCGCAACACGCGTGTACTAAGCTCACTGAGCTTAGCCCGCTGTGCCCATGCGTGCATGCGGTCTCAACTATAGTGCCACCTACCTCCATTGCTGCTACGTACCCACCTGTTAGTAGTAACACCCGCACGTAGGTTTGGTAAAGGACCGATACCGCTGACTCCGGAGATCCTTTCGCGCTCAGGAACTCCGCGGGGCGCCTCTGACGTTGCGGTGCAGGATGGCGAGTGGCCAAATTGCCGAAGTACAGCCTGTGACTCCACTGGAGTCACAATCATCTGCATGATCTGAACCTCTCAAGTTCTACATTTGCGTTTCGTCATCCCGTGATTAGTTTCGCGTTGTCTCTGAATGAATGCGTGATTTTCGTATGATCTTCCCTGGGGAATGAGTATCACAAGGAGCCGAGGAAAGAGCATTTAACGAGTGTCAAACTGTGCACTAGATAATTCGTTAGGGCCTTTGAGATCTGAAGATGATCAAGAACCAAACAGCAAGTGGAACACACAAGAGTAGCAATTCCTCTGCTCGGGACCAAGAAAAGCAGGCATGCCTCGGAATAGTATGCTGTCACCTGGTTAGCAACTCTTCCCAGGGTTAAACGGTGAGTACTAGATTATACCGCCTGGTCAACGGCCTAATCCACAGGCCTCAGAGCAAGCTTATATACAGCATATAAATTCACAAAACCAATGCTGCACTATAATGCGATCGCTAATATTTTTGTACCACATTTTGTACTGCTTGCGTGACGGGATTATTGTAGCGTGCTTCCTTTTCGGAACCCCTCTGTTGTTGTGTTGATCTGTCGCTCCAAATTCGGGACCTCATGGAGTGACAAATAAAGGCCCACTCCTCAGGAGTGACCCCTGAAAGGCGACCAGTGGTCTGCGCATATTGGGAGTCAGATTTTCACCGAAAAGACGATTATGCGGCTATGGTGCCAGTTTATGACAGAAGAAATAGGTCCGATGTAACGTTGCTTCCCCGTCACCGGAAGGAACACGACAGGGCAATCCGGAAGCAGCCTATAAATCTCCTATCGCAAGAACCTCAGAACGCTATATGCAATCGATCAGCTTGGCGCATACAGCACATACCGTCTGGGACAACAGAGGTGAAGGCGGCTAAGCAACATAATACGGACATGATGTGACTAATCGCCTCGGAAATACGCATGCCCTTCACAACGCGGCTAATACTACTACTTTGACAACCGCAATAATAGATTCTTCAGCAGACAGACATACGGAAATGATTTCCGGGAAATCGACTGCACGCGTGTACAAAGCAGAACTGGGCAGTCTGTGTGCACCACTCACCACCTATCACTCTGCATACTTGTAGAAGCCCTGGTTATCTTCCGAAAGAAGTTCTGACTAGTCTCTCTGAGGCCACAAAGCCATCATAACGTATAAGTATCAGCATAGAGTTTGGAGTTAATAGCTCGAAGGATCTGAAATTCTGTTCTCCCTCCCCACCAAGGCGCGGTCCGCAGATATTCTGGAAGGTTTTGACAAAGGCATTGAGGTCGATCGCGCGTTGCGGATCTTCTGGAGGCAGGTCAGCTACTCTGTAGACGTAAGCGCTCCCCTCATCAAGCTCAATGCGGAAGTTTGAGCTTATGAATAGCAGGTTACCGTTCACCGCCGGAGATTGGCAGCCAAGAGTTATGCCCACACGGTTGAAGGGATCGATAGCCGTAGAGTAGAAGTTTTACTCGTAGCTGGCCTTGTCGGTCTTGTACTCGAACTCTCCTGGACTCGCGAATGCGATAGGAGCTAGTTCCAGCTCTTTGCCTTCAAAAGTGATGCTTAGCCGGTCATTGCTGACAAATCTCACTGTAGTCAAATCACCATCATGAATATCGACGTCCGCGTATACTGAATGAATCCTATCATACGCAGTCTGGATTCCCTCCGGCAAACCTGAGAAGTCTGGAGCGTAAGTGTCAGACTCACCCCGCGGAAGTAGACGGCCGACGACTATTGTTACGGGGACCTTGAGAGGGGCTTCAGCCAGTATGACAACGACGGAGTTATCCATCCTGTACGTGAGGGTGATGAACTTCCAGAGTGAGTGTAGACACCACTTTTTTGAGCCGTCGTGGTCACAAGAACGTGAAGGACGCACCACAAGGTCAGGAAAGGGCCCACCATTGAAGGCATTTCATGATTTGAGACTGTGGTCCAGCAGAACTGAAGAGCGTATGAAGTCTTCTACGATTCAGTAGGACGCACCGCGGTTTTCTAAGAATAAGCTCCAAAGTAATGGCTGATTACTATGGCTGATACTATGATTATCGAGGGCGAAGGAAGAGGAAAACGACTTCGTGAAGGATTTAGCGTGATCTGAAGCGCAGCGCTACTAGCACTGCGATGCGCGATTCGCAGCCGCAGAACGCGTGTGCTCAGCTCAGCCCGCTATGCTCAAACATGCAAGCGAATTGGTCGTCAGCTGCTACTCATTATGCGCCGATCGTCTTGTGCATGCATGCATAGTTTATTCCCCTCGACTCGTCAAGTCCGGTCAAGTCGGGGTCCCCGACCTGTTGTGACTGGAGACTCTCCAGCGGAGAGTCCCCGACTCGGGGAGCAGGCTCCATTCTGCCTCCCGCGCAGCTGGTGCGGCGTGTGGCGCTTGATGCAGGGTGCTCCAAAATGGCAGCAATTCTATTTTCCCAATCTTTCCTGCGGAAAATTTCCTGCCGCAACAAAATGGTGGAAAAATATGGAAAAATAGCAAAATAACGTGAAACCACAGGAAATCCACCCAAAGAACCGTTTTTCAGCCCACCCGTAAGCCAAAGCGTGGGAACCGGAGGCTTGGCAGTAGAATTTTCGCCACTGGTGTCGCTAATGGGAGACGGAAGCGGGACGTTTCCGTACTGTGAAATCCCCCAGCGGAGGTAGACACGCGCTGTGCAATCCACACCACACAAGCCGAAGTCAGCGCTCGCCCCAAGAGCTAAAGACACTGCGGGGCAACTCTTGGTAAGGGGCAGATGCAGACGTAGCATCTCAAACCCACCACACCACACCCTTGTCACGGAGGAGACTGTCCGGCCTGAGGGTGCACACAACGCACCCGAGGCCCGGATCAGTCTGCGCACACCATATGTCCCACACGGCCGAAGACACCGGCCAGTGGACGTACGTGGCGCGCGCCCAGACCCAACCTCCGCGACTATGGGAATTCACGGGGGACAGACTGCGATTTGCAACGCAACGCGCCGACACTGGGCGGGCGGCGCCCGCCGGGCGCTCATACAAAATACGCATTCTCAACTCCAACGGCTGCTCTTCCCCCAGAGATCCGACGTGCTGGGCAATGAGTTCTGAGTTGACCTTTCCTCTCTTTCATTCACATATTCCCACAATGGATGGTCGCCCACAGGAATGGAATAGACGTGATTGGCGCGCGTAAGAACGAATTGGATATATCGACCGTAACGGCTACCGTTGTCGACTTCGTGGCTACGCACAAGGGGTAACATCCGCCGACAACAGCAACACGTTCAAAAGAGACACCAGAGGACCCACAGGGCACCAGGAGGGAGGAGGATGAGGAGGAGGAGGAGGAGGAGGTGCCCTGGGCAGTGCCCAGTGGGCACCGCCCACCAAGAAACAACATTTCGATCTTGCGTTCTTGCAAGATCTAGCGAAGTTTCCAATACTTGGACTGTGGCGTTTCACAAGAGCGCAAGATTAGAACGGCAGACTTCCATGTCAAATCATGTACGAGGTGGCTCTCCGAGGACATGAATGCATTCCACGAGAACCGCTCACTGAGCGGCGCTCAGCGATTACTGTGAGACTCATAGGGTGAATTAGATTTGTGGGCACGTCTCGCAAATTCAGCTTTCCTTTGCACACTCGCAAACCCGATGGATTCAAGATTAACGCGCAAAAATTTTTCCATATTTTTCCAATTTTGCCGTATTTTTCTGTATTTTCCCATTTTTCCATCCACCCAACCATTCTTTCCAACGGCGGAGCACCCTGGCTTGATGGCCCAATATTCGGGATGGTGATGTCTGCGCATTGTCGGGAGAAAGATCTGTCGATGCTCATAGCCTATGGCGCATAGTATGGGTCATAGAGCCTGCTCGTGCACTATAGTGACGACTATGTTGTTAGCTAGTTAACAATTACAGCCTGGTTCAGTGCCAATTCAGCTCTTAGTTTGCTGCTACTACGTACCATTAGTATCAGATAACCGTCTCAACTCATTCTGCGCCTTGCACTCGCCGCGAGTGACTCGCGTTCATGAGTATACGTGCTACACTGAGCTCAGCTTAGTAAGCTGTGGTGCACATTATCACTAAGCTTCTCTCGAGTCCGAATTTACCTTGCTTTGAGCCCCGTCTCAAATAGCCACACGGTACTGAGTTATAGTGCACTCGTTCGCATCAGAGCTAAGTTGCTGAAGTCCAATCAGAGGGGAACGAGTAGCGAACTCCTACGTATTCCGTAGTACTGTAGTACGGAACAGCAACTGCAATAGTGTAGGGAAGGGTATCTTACCAAAAGAAGATAATTTATCCTCAAGCCTCGAATGGGGGGATATCTTCCTTCGCAAAACGCATAGCTCTGGAAGCTTAGCTTCCGTAGCTACACAGCCTGCAAGGTCTCCCCCACTGACTTGCGCCGCGGTTATTCGGCCCCCAGTTCCTGGGCTTCCGATAGACGATCGGCGATCGTGTAAGCCATTTTAGCTCAGTGGCAGAGCGTCTGCTTTGGGAGCAAGAATTCGTCAATTCAAGTCTGGCATATGGCGTGAGTGTTGGGAGCGACTCGCGCTCGGGTGCCGGCGGCCGAGCAGTTTATTTTTCGGCCCAGAATCTGCTAGCAGCGAAAAGGAGAAAACCTTCGACTTGAAGGCAGTGTTGTCAACATTACTTTGAGGGTCAAAAGTTCTGACTCAGAACCCTCCAACTCTTTCGAGCCTATCGCCGACAGCTATTCGCCGTTGGTGTGCTCTTCGGTTGATTGGTGCTTAATACTATCGAGGATTCTCCCCTAGCAGAGGCAGCACCCCGTTAGTAGTCATTGACTACTAGTCAATGGTCCGCTGGTGCTGCGGCAATCCTGTGAGTAGATTTTAGGTGGAATTCCCTGTGAGCTCGTGAAGTCGACGGCTTTACGGCTTCTAGCTGTTCCTCTTTCCTGTACTACCACTTCAAGACTTGGAGTTCAAGTTGAAGATCATTTGTGTTGAACAACAGTGTTCGACCGTCTGTAGACGGCGTACATTACCCGTGCAACTTCTGGGTATTCCGGGGAGAACACGGCCATGCGGGAGCCTCCCGCCGGGAGGTAACCCCTTCCCAAAGGACCAGGTGCCAGTGGCATGTCACGCGCCGCATGTGACCCCAAGGCTACCTCGACCAGGCACGCCCACTGAGGTTCCATATTGGAGCACCCTTAACAGATGAAGGCTTCATCATGAAGCATATGCACAAAGAGAGATAGTGTAGACCGAGATCGCCGACGATTATGGTCGGAGCCCATGCCATATCCGTCACAAAAAACGGATAGAAAAAATGCTCAAAAAATGTTCGGACATACTCAGGCTTTTCGCATTTCATCGAAATTGAAGTTATTTCGGATGTGGCGGCAAAATTAATTCTCCAAGTCGGACGACTTATGTATCTTCCTATCTCGCACGCTTGCGAATTCGATTTTTCTAACGCATATCCTGGCGTGGCATGATAGCCCGCCCCACGGAAACGATCTTACTACAGCCAAAAATAGGCCTTGAGGTGTAGAGGCTGCGCATCAAGTTCAGGGTGGGACGAATTACCCGATGCAGGATTCGAACCTACGACCATCTGCTCCGTAGGCAGACATTCTATCCAGCTGAACTAATCGGGCTCCGGAGGAGACATGGCAGCGACGCCCACATCCTTGTCCACCAGGGAGACTCCAACGCTACTCAGTTGGTGAAACGCTCCCCAAACTTTCTTACTTCGCTCTGGGTGGACACTGGACAACCTATGGTTTCCGCATGGGAACTCGAGCCGGAGTAGGCGATAGACTCTTTCGGATAGAGAATATCATATATAGGGTCCGATGGCGCAAGCTCGCCAGCTGTTCGTGCTTCTCGAGTAATTGGTGGCGCTTCACGACCGCGGCCGCAGTTCTCTAACCCGTGGCCCCTGCTAGGCCGCAAACCTAAGGTTTGCGGCCCGAGTAACCTGGCATGCCCCTTGTCACTACGAGAATAAACGTCCTAGTGACCATGAGGCAGCTGCTGCAGGGTTTTCGGGTTCGTAGCATCTAGAGAATTCGACGACTCGCAGTTACCACAAGCGTAGCACAAGCAGGCTAACCGTATTTCGTGCGCGCTGCAACCTGGCTCAATCTCATCGGTTGCTGTTAGAGCAAACAATTTCGACTCGCCGCAGTCGGGCTCTCAAGCCTTTCAAAGGCTGCCTTTGCACAAGGCGACGTGGGCCGCTTGGACTCAGTCACTGAGCCTCAGTGATAGATCGCCTTTTTCGTCAACAGAAGAGCGTCACCTCAATTCTTAGTAAGCGGAAGGCTGCGTACGTGTGTTCAATGGTCAAGCACATCTCTATCCCTCTCTACGATGCACTTGTTAACTCTTCTCAGGCCACGCGGGACGAGGTAAACCACCTTCAAGTGGACCCTTATTCTCCCTAAAACTTGCTCACAGCTGTTACACCGGTGAGCAAGTTCTAGGGAGCAAGTTCTACCACAAGTTTTCGCGGTCCACCAGAGGTGTACCATGCCGGTACTACCGCCATTCGTCCATGATCGATCGGTCCACTGCAGCTCCAATCCAAGATTGTTTCGCTCAAATTGCGGGTCGTCCATAATCTTTTGGTACATCAAGAAAGTTCGTGGTTCAAATAGCGAGTGTTGTAGCTCAGACTGAGCTACACCTTACTCACTGAGTGAGCGCCTGATCGTAGTCAGCAAGGCTATTAACATAGACGAAAGGAGCTGGATCATCCGGCTCCTTTCGTCCAGCCTGGATGAATCCACCCGCCGCCGGTGGTGACCACCGGGTGGAAATAGCTTATAGCCGCGGGTGACCCGCGGCTATAACAATCTAGGACCGAATCTGCGAGGTATGAAACAGCGATGTATGAATGGAGGTCCTCTGCTTGATGAATTTAAGTGGCTCCCGCTATACATAGCCTCTTGGCCTCATCCATTGACATTTAGCAAAACAACATGCATATCCCTCATGATCGAGAAGTATTACGGGAAGGAAAGCAGCTAGCGGGAGAGCATGGAGCGGCTCCATTGGAGACCTGATGAGGGTGAGCAAGAATCTTGCTGCAAGATACTGAATGACGGCCTGTTATCGGCAGAGAATCACTGTGTTTGCATAAAAACGAGTCCATGCAGAACTGCTCCGAGGTTTTGAGCCGGGAGGAATGCTACTGTAGACCAGAATGCGACATGAATGATGAGTCGGCTGCGCAGCCATCCACAGAAAGTTCTACCCGTGCAGCACGGGCCGTGCTTCTACCATGGATGAGCAGCAGCTTCCAATGACGTACTACACCCTCGAAAACACTGACCGAACACTCTCGTGATGTTACGCGGAGGCGCTTTCAAGCCCGCGCAAATCCTGAGCTCATCTTCGCTGCCAGATGCCACCAAACAACCAACACATTCCTCCTCAGGAAAGTGTTCAACACACTTGACACCACAAGCCCCCAGAGAGTCTTCTGTGAAAAAACTGAAACAGCTCGCACATTTGGAGGTCAGGTTACCAGCCGTTTCGATACATCATTCGAGGTCAACTAGATCAAGAGAAGCCAAAAAAATACAGCGGCAGAAAGAATCGGCAAAGGAGTCCTCCGTCACGGTTCTTCTCTCTTCTTGGTCGCAATCGTCACGCCCTGATACGAGAGAGACTGCCAAGGCGTTGAATGCGAGGAGACGCATCAGCAAGATTGAAACCTAGAGAGGAAAACTGAGTGAGGGAATGGCTTTCACAACAGCCGAATGCTTACGCCCTGTGCTCACGATTCATGAGTCACGAACTCGATCCGCTAGCCGAATCCAGAAGAGATCGGCATAGCACTGCTCTCAGAGCAGCACAACTATCCGTGACATACGCACGTGCGTGGCTACGTCACGCAAGTTGCATGCGTGCACCCTTGGAGCATGTCTCGGGCCGAACGAAGTCGTCGAGAGCCTTGACGACCTCGTTCGCCCCGGTATCTTGACTCAAGGTACCGCAACATACCGCCACCTCCTCCACGTGGGCTACGCATTCACCGATTGGAGACTCCTAGCTGGAGTATATCACTGCTGCCACTATTGTCTCCGTGAGCGCACATATGATCTCAGTCCTACCACTCCATCCCGCGGGTGACTTTGTCGCCTCATCACTACCTGTGACCAGGATTTCATGCAGTGGTAATCAGAGTTGATAGTGGCCTCTCCGATAAACTGAGACGAATGCGAGAGCGCGACCAGAAACAGAAAGTACAACAGTTGTAATGCAACTGGGGTTCTCATCCCTTGAGGATAATCCGCACTGGGATTATAATCGATAGTAACATGCCTGGACGCAACGGCGATTTGAAGCTGCAGTTCAACACGTTGGCTGATGGCCCGGAGGGTACGTCGATTGAGGTTGTTTCACTGAATATCAGTGGTAAGCTCAACCTAGATGCTGAAGAGGAAGGCGTGTACACTTGGTGGAATCCGGGTGGCAGGGATATCAACTACGACGAAAGACTCGGAGGCATATCCAATATTGAAATCCCATCGAGAATTTACCCTTGCTTACCCGAAGGAGAGAAGGCTAGCAACGGGAAATACAGTGTGAGGGGTTGGGCTGACATTGGCCAGTTGTCCCTCCACTCTGACGCCTCGGCCCGGAGCCATTCTGGTAAAGTTAGGTTATACACCGCACAAGCAGTACAGGTGACGAAGGAATGGTTCAAGGAAAAGCAAGGATGGATTGCAGCTTGGAGATATCAAATACACCATATGGTTGAGGGCAACGTTGATGGCCCATCAATGATGGGTCAGAACCCTTCGAGTCCTTTGAGTCCATTGCCGCTGGGGTACTCTTCCGCTGAGTAGTGGATGGGCTCGCTTAACGTCTTCCCCCGGTCGACGGTCTCGGAAGACGATAAGACTCATCCGATAAGTTGAACTTTCTAACTTCATATTACGCTTGAGTTTTCAGTACGGGAGCACCGGTCCGGGAGCGAATGACGAACAACGGAGGAGAGAGCTTTGAAGACTCGGTCTTCAGAGAGCAGTCCGAAAGGTTCAAATCGGATTTGAATCGAACGCCGGGTCGCTATTGCCGGTTCACAGTGAGTCACTGCGGGTGAACCGGCAATAGCGAGTCTTGCTCTGTCCACGTCTGCGTAGGCAAAAGTCGAAAAATTTGACTTGTTCGCATCTCCCGCACCAACAGATCCAAGATCGAGGATCTGTCGAGGATGACTCATCCTGGATGAGGTAGCGCTTCGTCATTGCGGCCGCGAGTTTTGTCTCTCGAATCGGACTCGCAGGCGGGCTACCACCATCGTTCGTCCTCCTCTGGGGCTTATGGTGTGAAGGACCTTCACAATGCAAGACTTGTAATACAATTCGCGATGAGCTCATCCGCGCCGCCAGTCGCGACCAGACAACCGACACATTCCCTCCCAGAGAGGTGTCACAACAATCCTCCAGCGAGTCTGCCGTAAAGAAACTGAAACACGTGGCACATATGAAGGTCATCTTCTCAGCCTTTCGGAGTAGCTGATCGGACTCCGATCAGCCAGGTCT